TTTGACATTTGGTTTGTATTTTTGTTATTTCATTAGATAATCTATTGTTGAAAGCTACCTGACCATATTGCCTCTGCTTGTTCTTCTAAGAATATATGGTTTTAGTTTGCATATTTAGGTCCTTAATCCATTTTGAATTTGTTTTTGTTTATGATGTAAAGCATTGACCCTATTTCATTTTTCTGCATTCAGCAATCCAATTTTCCCAGTACCATTTGTTGAAAAGACTCTTCTTTCCCCACTGAATGAACTTAGCACCCTTGTTAAAAATTGGTTGACCACAAATGTGTGGGTTTACTTCTGGACTCTCAATTCTTTGTGTCTATTTATGACTATGGCTTCACAACAGAAACAAAAAATTGAGAGTCCAGACGTGAACCCACACATCTGTGGTCAACTGATTTTTGACAAGGGTGCTAAATCCATTCAGTGGGGAAAGAAGAGTCTTTTCAACAAATAGTGATCTGGTGTGGTGCTGTAGGATAAGCACTGGGGTGTGATGTTGGTTTGAATTCCCAGAAACTCCTCGGAAACCCTATATAGGGTTAATATGAGTCAGGATCAACTCAACAGCACTTAAAACAACAACATTGTTATACCATTGTTTTGATTAGTATAGCTGTATTATAATTGTGTGCTGTTAAATTGGTTCCATCTAAGAATGACCCTGTAGAGGTTTCCAAAAGCTGCTGGTGGGTTTGAACTGCCGACTTTGCAGTTAACAATCCAGTGCTTACCCTACAGTGCATAGCGGTTCAGTATGTTAAAATCAGGAAGTTTGAGTCTTCTTTCTTTATTCTAATCTTTCCACATTGTTTTAGCTATTCAGGGCCTCTTGCTATTCCATATAGAGTTGAGGACTGGTTTTTCTATCTCTGTTAAGATGCCTATTGGAATTTTTATTGGAATTATACTGAGTCTGTAGATTGCTTTGGGTAAAATTGATGCCTTAGCAATATTGCATCTCCTAATTCACGAAAGACCCCCAGCGAGATGGATTGGCAAAGTGGCAGCATCAATGGGCTCAAGCGTGGCAAAATTGTGAGGGTTGGCCCAGGACCGGGCAGTGTTCTGTTCTGTTGTGCATAGGGTTGCTATGAGTCAGTACTGACTCAATGGCACCTAACAACAACAATCCATGAACATGGAATATCTTCCCTTTAATTTAAGTATTTTCAATATGTTCTAACAATGTTTTATTGTACACATCCTTCATATTCCAGGTTAAATTTATTCCTAGGTATTTTATTCTCTTAGATGCTATGTCATGTGCTTTTAAAAAAAGTTCATCATCTTTAGACTTCAGGAATTAATGGAGGTAGGGGAGACTGAGGCAAACCCAGGGGTTTTGAATCCTGGAGTCAGGCCCTGTCACTGCAAACATCCATGGAAACAAGGGAGTGAGCAATCAGCAGATTTGTTCTTGAACTCAGGGATGGCGAAGTGAGAATGCTTGAGTCATCAGAGTGGGGAGCAGCAGGAAAAGCCATATCTGAATGGGGCCTGAGGGCCCAGAGGTGGGAAGGGAAGCAGGGCCCAACTCCTCAATGCTGAGGAAAAGGCACTTGGATCAGTCTCCCTTGTCCTTGCACCTCATCCCTGGAAGAGATGAGGATCCTCAGCCCCTGGCCCCTTTCAAGGGTCCCATAGTTGTTCCTGGTAGTTTGCTGAACTCACAGGTGCTGATCATGATGGCACAGGAGGGGGCAGCCTTGATGATCTTTAAGAGGAAGCCTGCAAACATGATGGCACAGGAGGGGGCAGCCTTGATGATCTTTAGGAGGAAGCCTGCAAACACTCAGCCAGCATCCTCCTCAGCAGCAGCCAGGTGGCGTCGACCCATAGGTGTCTCACTCTCATAGCCCCCATTGCTTCTAGTACAACCTGGCTCTGTCTTTACCATGTTGAAAGACTGAGTCAGGATGGCAGCCACCATCCTGAGATGCTGCCAGCCACAAAGCTGATGCCCACAAAATCCAGTCTTTTGGTCGGGGCCCACTAGCCAACTCTTCACCAGCTTGTAGTTGAACTAATAGAGGGCTGTGGACCCCCAGCCCAGCCACAGGGAACTCCAGCTGTCCTGAGCCACCAAGGCCTGCACAGAGATGCCCAGCTCATGATAAGACACACACTGAGTCTGCAGCTTTGTCCATATCAGTTCCAGGGAGCTGACCACAGTCACAGGGCCCAGGTTGGTCAGAGTGCCTGCCACTATGGGTGCATAGAGGTCAGAGATCAAGGCTTGTCCACACAGGAAAGACTTGAGTTGGTCATAGGTGGTGAAGTAGGTGGCAATGACTGGGACAGTTATCACCAGAGTGACCAGGAGTTCACTCCTTAGGGTCCTGGTGCCCTTGTGCTGCACAATCTTCACAAAGGCATCCATGGTGCCAATGAAGCCTATGGGATCCTAAAACCAGGTGGAATAGTGAACACTGTTTAGGCACAGGTAAAGGGGCTCCAGGACCCCATTACAGTACAGGAGGCACGTTGCTGTGGGCTGGAGAGAGGAATGCACTGGGGCAGGAGAAGGGGCATTAGGATAATAGGGAGGGTCCTGGACCCAGTAGAGAGGTGGTGGCTCCCATCTTCAGAAAGCCTGGGGTCCCTGGGTGGGTAGATGCTCTTGTGCATGACAAAGATGGCAGACACACATTTGGTGTAGGAGACACACCACAGTCTAGAGGGAGGTGTCATCTCATGGATCACCAAGGGGTGCTGGGGCTGTAAGCACACCTTCACCGGGTCCATAGAGGTCATGAAGAAGGACATGACCACAGCTCCAGCCCCTGAAGCTACCATTTGCTGGAGAGGGATATTGCCCCCAGGGTCCTGAACATCCATCCGGTAGATTGGATTCTGGCTCTGGAGGCGGGGCAGGCACATCACAACACTGTGGCTGGTACAGAATCCGTGCACTCACCCCACCTGCCCTATGCTTTTTGAGCTTCCGTTTCTACACTTCTACACTTACAATAATAATATACACTTTGTTAGCATGACAGAGTCATATGCCAAAAAAAAGACTATGAAAGCATTGCTTAAATTGTCAAATTTTATATAGATAGCATAGTTCTTACATGTAAGAGCACTGCACTTTCCTTGCTCTGTAATGTTTCAAATCTATTAAGTATTGTGCCAAAGCTTATTTGGGGTATGAATAATAAGTGGTGTTAAATTCCAATAAGAGCTGTTGTCATTGTTGTTGTTAAGTACCATGGAGTCGGTTCTGACTCATAGCAACCCTGCACAGGGTTTCTGAAGCTGTAGATCCTTACGGGAGCAGAAAGCCTCATCTTTTTCTCTTAGAACAGCTGGTAGTTTTGAACTGCTGACCTTGAGGTTAGCAGCCCGATACATAACCACTATGCTACCAGAGCTCCTTTCCAATAGAGCTACAAGGTGGTTAATATTTATGTACAAATATAAATGTAATAGAAACTATTAGCATAGTTGTAAAGACTATTTAAATGAGGTGGGAAAGATTTGTGATAAGAATAAAGGGAAATCTTATAGAGACCTTCAGGCAAAAGGAAGCTGCAGAGTATATTTCAGTTATAATTTAATTTCTGGGCTGTGACTAAGCAAAAGAGCAAGAAAATTGTTTATGACACTTGTTGTTGTTGTTAAGTGCCATTGAGTCAGTTATGGCACATAGCGACCCTATATAGGGTTTCTAAGGAGCACTCGTGAGTTTGAACTGACTACCTTCTGGTTCAAACTGACCTTGTGGTCAAGTGCTTTATCCCACAGCACCAAACCAGTACTCCATAAGTGACACTTAACATCTAGGGAAAAGAAACCAGATTGGGCAAGCGTGTCTCTAACCTTGAAGTTGGAGAATAGTGTGTCCTGAGATTGCATCACAACATGTCACTAGTGACTTTGGTTCTGGGATCACTGGAACTTGAGAAGAAGATAGAAGAAGATACTGAAATGGTATCTTCTTCCTACTGAGCTATTTTCCTATTTTGGGAATGAGAATAAAGAAAAATTAATGAAAAAAAAAAACTAAACTAAACTAAAAAGGAAAAGATGGTGGGAAAGGTAGGACATCAGAAAAGAACTGTGGAAATTTAATATCTATAGGGTAACAGAAAATTGCACTAAATTAAAAAAAACAAAACAGAAAATATTTCTTATTTAGAAATTACGATCCTGAAACATTGCATTGCAGTTCAGCAGGTCCTCTATTAAGTAATATCGTTTCCAGAGGAATAAGTCTGTCGCTTTATTTATAATTATAATCACTATACTAATACAGAAGATTTGTGTGTTACCTTTCTTTAATTCTGCCAAGTTTTGATTCTTGTTTTAAAGCCTTTTTATCTGTATGTCTTTTCATGTAAAACTGCTCAGAGCTTTGGATTATCAAAGAAAATTTGCAGTGAAAGTGTAATCACTTTGTTGAAGTCATAAACTGTATAATATATTTTAAGGTAACTTTTATCTTTAAAATACATCATTTCCTGCCAATGGGGCGGCTATTAGCTGTAACCATCCTGTGTTTTACAGCATAATTTTTCTTTATATTTTGTTTCTTGGCTAAATTTTACTTCTTGTTCAAATTTTCAATCTTCACATATTCTTTCTTGATGAAATTTGAAAAACCAATTTTGACTGAGGTTCCTGGGCGGCACAGATGATTTGTACCCACAGGAGAAAGAGTGGGCTTTCTATTTCCGTGAAGATTTACAGCCTCAGAAACACTATACAGGGTCTCTATGAGTCAGAACCAACTCTAAAGCCTAACAACAGTAATAATCAAAGGTTGGCAGTATGAATTCACCCAGTGGCACTGCACTCTACTTCTGTAAGATTCTCCTGATACTTACAAGATTGCCACGAGTTAGAATTGACTCAGTGACAACAGGCATTTTAAAAAATGTTGATGCCATGGACTGTGAAGAAGAGGAGCTTCAGCTTTCTTCTAGTCCCATTGCTTTATCACTTGACAGATGCATATGCCCCAGCAGAATAATTTGACTTTTCCATTTCAGTGTTACAACCCCAGGAACAGAAGTATCAGAGAGTCAAAAGGCTACAGTGGTATCTAGATCTCCCAGCAAGATACCTGAGGAAATTAGTACCCCTCCTGAGGAGGAGAGGTCATACCTCCAGACCCCAGCATCCAATGAGCAGGGAGATTCTCCCATCGTACAAGAACCCGAAGAGTCCCTGGAGCAGAGAGAGGAGAGTTCTCCACGAAGAACTAGCCTTGTGATCGTAGAGTCTGCTGATGAGCAGCCACAAACCTTTAAAAGACCCAATGAAGATACAACTTTTCAAAAGGTAAGAATCCACTTCTCGTTCCCTTGCCCACATGTACCAAAGCTACATATCTCCTTCCTGTATCACTTCAAATTAAAAAGTTGTATCAAAATAATTTTTAACCAAGACCATACGAAACTATCCATCCTTTTGAAATCTGAGAACTAGTCAATCTAGAAGAATTGATCTACAACCAAGAAAATTGAATACTATGGTGAAACAATGTATTTGAAATTGCTTTTAAAAATTAGTAAATTTGTGTGGGAAGAATAGTGATAAAGGGTAGCAGAGTCTCAAGTAAAGTGCTGGTGGATTGCTGTGTGTGTTGTCAAATAATGGAACCACAAATTGGGGCTATCAAGTGGGCTTATCTCCCAAAACAACTGTTTCTTTCATTGTTGTTGTTAAGTGCCATCAAGTCAGTTCCAACTCATAGTGACCCTGAATAGTTTCCGAGGAGTGGCTAATGAATTTGAACCACTGAATTTTCAGTTCAAATTGACCTTGCGGTCCAGTGCTGTATTCTGCAGCATCACACCCAGGTAATTGTTGTTGTTGTTGTTAAGTGCTGTCAAATTGGTTCTGACTCATAGCGACCCGGCATAAGGTTTCTAAGGAGCAACTTAGGGAATTTCAATTGCCAGCCCTACGACGGTTCAAACTGACATTGTGGGTTCAGTGCATTATCCTGCTTTTGTTATTGTTAAGTGCCGTCAAGTCAGATCCAAACCCATAGAGACTCTATCACAGGGTTCCCGAGGAGTGACTGGTGAGCTTGAGCCGCCAACCTTGCAGTTCAAGTGACTTTGCAGTCTGGTGCATTAGCCCACAACGTCACACCAGGACCATTATCCTGCTAGAGGATGGGTAATTGCCAAATTAGATTTATTTTAAAAATGACTTATAAGATCATTGTATCTAAAAATATTGTTGTTTTAAATGACAAAAGACCTGGAAGTTTGGTTAAAAAGAGATGGCAACCATCTTGAAATATTCATGTAAACTATTATTTCTTGGAATGTGACCTTGGAGATAATTGGGAAATTGATCTCTCTTTAGTCTTCCTGAGTCACAATGAATACCAGGGAAGAGGGGAAACACCAATACAAGAATCTTCATTATAATAACTCCCCAGATGACTCTTAAACACAATAAAGTGTGATAGTCTATTTTAATCAAACTTAATTTTATATAAGTTAAATCAAATAGTAATTTTCTTTTTTAAAATAATACAATTTAAAAATATTTTATATCTTAACAGGATTTCAGAACACTACTGTAAGTCTTAGAAATTTTAAAAATTAGTTAAAATAAGAGAATTGAAGTTCTTTAGGAAGAAAAAGTAATATATTTGGTATAAGCATTATGTTTTTAAATTCACTGTAAGAATGACACTTGCTCCTAAGATTTATGTAAAAAATCATAATGAAAATTAGGAAAGATCCAGGCAAATGAGATCTGATGTCTTGATTTTGATAGTTTCTTAAAAAATGAATTCATCTCATGAGTGAATTTTTATTCTAAGATTGACTTTACACAGAAATATTCATCTCACAACTTGTTAACTTACATGAACACTAATGCAAATGTTTCATGTCTACGATCTTGCTTCTTGTTGTTAAGTGCCATTGAGTCTGTTCTGACTCATAGCAACCCTGTATAGGGTTTCCAAGGAGTTGCTGGTAAGCTTAAATCACTGACCTTCAGGTTCAAACTGATTTTGCAGTCCAGAACATTAACCCACAGTGATACTCCAGGACTCCACAGTCTAGCCTTAACAGTTACTAAATCTAATTGAAGAATCAATCCATAGATGAAGAACAATAGAGACTTGAAATAATTATATATATAATTCATGTATGTAATCTGTTTTATACAGGTAAATAAATTTTGGAGCTTGGCATGGCACTATAGGATAACTGAACTGCTAACCCCAAGGTTCAAGCCCACCAGCCGCTCCTTGGAAACCCTATGCAGAGTTTCTATGAGTTGGCACTATGGTGCTTAACAACAGCAAAAAATAAATTTTAATAACTCATTCTGCATTTTAAATAGCTTATATAGGTCTGTTCTTATTCTGTGTGAACATTTACCTTTCTGTCTTTAGCTGACTAATTAGACTGTTTTTATTTATGATGATCCTAACTTGACCATTTTATTTCAATTAGTTTTTTAGGCAGCAGATCCCTGAGTATTTAAAGTATAATTTGGTTTAAACAGCAAATAGGTTTTCATTTAGCAGAGAAGGATATAAAAATAAAATTTTGGTATGTTAAAGTATGTTGAACAAATTTAGTTATTTGTTTTAAATAAACTTCCTTTGGGAAAGAGTAAAAGACATTCAAAGTACAGCTACCAAGACATGTGTTGTAATCTTTAATTGTGTTCTTCGCCTCATCAGATTCCAGTCGTTTGCCTCCACATCTCAACTTCTATGTAAAATCAGTCTAATAATATTCATACACAGCTTTTCTTGGACTCTAGAGTGTTGAATAATTGGCTAGATAAGAGTTACAGGAAATTTTGACTCGCCCTATAGAACGTTTTGTTACAAACATAAAGTATTTCCTCACCCTTGAGTAAATAATTCCAAGCCTAAACAGGAATGCCTAACCAGAGTGTGTTATGTTGTTTACCTTCAGTTATTTGTTCAGAGTATAAGTGTAAGAAACAACATGGGCAGGCTGTCTGTATCTGATAGATTTTGACAGATGTATGTAGCATCAATGAGCTGAAGTGTGGCAACAATAGTAAGGTTGCCCAGGATCGGGCAGTGTTTCGTTCTGCTGTGCATAAGGTTGCTATGGATCAGTACCGACTTGATGGCACCTAACAACAACAACATGCTTAGAGAGCTCTCAGAGCGATGACTTGATTCCAGAACTTTATTTTCCATTAATTAAACATTAATTAATTAATTAAACTATAATATATTCTCCTTGAAGTCTGAGACAACCACTCCTGACTTTCCACCAAAACCTCCACAAATAAGTTTGAGAACACAGTCTGAACTAAAGCAAAAACCAGTAGTTATGTGGCTTAGCGTGTTAAACAAAACAGTGCTTCTGTACTTCCACCAGGAGCTAACAGAGGAGTTAGGTGAGCTAGAGGCCAGCTCAGATGAGGAGGCGATGGTAACTACCAGGGTTGTACGTCGACGAGTGATTATTCAGGTACCAGGTGTTAAATTGCTGCACGTTCAGGACAGTTCTGTCCCTCGTAACCCTTAGAGAGTGACCAGCCTGGAGCAGTGAGGGCTTGGCATGTTCCTTGGTTAGTGCATGGATTCAAAATTAGATTCCATAACTCTTCTAAGTATTGTTTTAAAAGAAATGCAGTGGGAATAGTGAGTGAGCAAGATTTGGCTTCTTTAGCTCCACCACCTCATGTCTTTCTTGTCTGGTTTTGTTTAATTTAAATTTTACCTAACCTTTTGGCAGATTCTCCTAAGCATGTTATCCTTCACCTTCCCCGCCACCCCACATACTCTTTCTTTTAAACAAATAACTAAGCAGGGTTGTTGCCTCTCAGCAAATGCTTCTCAACGGCACCTTTAATTTCCTAATATCCCTCATGTACGTACTGGGAAATTAATTCCTCAGAATTGGTACCAAACACTGAGTGATCCATTTCTCTGAATTATTTAGGGAGATGATATGCCTGACATACCACCAGAATCGGTCACAGAAGAAGAATACATTGATGAGCACGGACACACCGTGGTGAGAAAGGTACTGTCTGATGTGTGTTCATTAGGTTAATTTCAAACTTCCTGTTAAAAATATATGGGTACTGTGGTGTTGCAAAACAAGATCCATGAATAAAATATATTTCAGGTTACTAGAAAAGTCATTAGGCGGTATGTATCCTCTGACGGCACTGAGAAAGAAGAGATTACAATGCAGGGAAGGCCACAGGAACCTGTCACCATCGAGGAAGGGGATGGCTATTCCAAAGTTATAAAGCGTGTGGTACTAAAGAGTGACACCGAGCAGTCTGAGGTGAGACCATCTCTGGAGAGGAGTTAAATACAGGTCAAAAAAAAAAAAAAAAGGACCAGATTGTGTGTTCACATTTGCCTCACTTCTGCTTATTCCACTGTTAGTTCCATCTTTCCCCTCCCCTTTTTTTTCCGTGGCTCATTGTAATTCAAATCAGAGTGCTTTGTAGCCATATTACTCATTGTCTTTGTCTTTCCATTTTTAATTTATATCATAGTTTCCACATCAGAAATCCAGCAGTCAAATTTTAAAAGAAAAAAAAAAAATCTTATTTGCTAGGCAAGAATTGTATTATTTAGAAACCAGGAACAAATGTATCACAGGTACTTTTGCTTCTTCAACACACTGACCTGTAGATCATGTTGGATATAGAGTAATAGTCAAAACTTCTGCATTTAGTGTCACTAAAAGCAGGATCCAGATGCTCCCTGATTTACTGTTTCATTTCTTCCTGTTTTACATCCCTCTTTCAGGAATACATACATGCTTACTCATTTTGACACAATTTGTGCTATTCTCACAGTTTTACCTTTTGCTCACATCCTTAAAGTCTTAATATTCTAGATGTGAGATTCTCTAGTCTGCTGCTTTGATTTCTGATAACTTAAAGAGTTCCTCTTTTGAAGATTAATTGTGTCTTCATAATGCCCAAACAAACCATTTAACAGTGGGAAAAGACACTCGATCCACAGCTTTGTTCTTTATATCATACTTAGTAGTCAGTTTCTTGCTCATAAAAATTACTGATAAATTTCACTCAAGTGACTAAGTAGTTGATTTGGTACTATTTAGATACAGTCATCATATGGACATACCAAATAATTATATTTTTTGTTTGTTTGTTTTTTCTATCGCTGCCTATTTCTTCCCGCATACTGCTTTCTGGAAGGCCAGTACATAATATTGTGGTTCATGTGGTTTCTTTTTTAAACATAGAAAAATTGATTGCTGTTATATTTTGGCAATCAGAAATTGTATGTTGTGTGTGCTTCATTCATTAGGTAACTTTGTCTGAGCCCAGCATTTTGTCCAGTACCTCACAATTTCAGGCTGAACCAGTGGAAGGCCGTAGAGTCAGCAAAGTTGTTAAGACAACTATGGTACACGGAGAGAGAATGGAGAAACATCTTGGGGATTCTAGATTAGCCAGTGATCTTCCTTCAGCCAAAGATGACTTTGAAGAGGTATAGAGCATCATCATTTTGTCTGTGTGTTGATTGTATGTGTGCATTGTCTTTGAAAATTGTTTATCATTATGTCATCTCATACATGAATTCATGGAGAGTAATTAAAGAGAGTAGAATTCCTGTTTTAATACGTTGTACGATGAAGCAGTGTTTCTTCAACGTACAATGCTAATGTATGTCACTTCAAGAAATTATAAAAATCTAGATGACCAGGACTTGTTCCTAATGATTCAGTATCAGGATATCTAAGTTCAGACATGATTGTGTATCTTATTTTAAAGTCCCAGACATGACTCCCAATTAATTGTTGTTGTTAAGTGCCATCTAGTCGTTTTCAACTCAGTGTGACCCTTTATAGGGTTTCTGTGGAACAGCTGGTGGATTTAAATATCAAACCTGGTTAGCAGTCCAATGCTTATCCTACAGCACCACACCAGGACTCCCTCAATTAATAAGGGAGGAAATAACAGATATTTCAAAGTATCTTTGCTAGCTAGCATTCTCAAATCTTGCATCTGTAGAATGAAGTGGAGTGAGACAAGTCAGGAAACTTAAAATATGGATGCTGGCCAGCAGCTTTTGTAAATTAATATCACACATCTTTCTTATAAATGGGAGAAATATAAGCGACTTGTTAAATGATACTTAATACTTGGATGTGCTACTAAAAGTTGTTTGTATTTATATGTTTTATATTAAAGATTAAGCAAAACAATAGATTTTCTTAATGTCTATATTTTATGATGGGGCTTTGTCTTTCTCCCCCTTCTTCAGGCTTTGAGTTATACAGGTAGCCACATGAAAGTCCACTTACCCAGTTTAGTAGAAAATGAAATCCTGAAAGAGGATGGATCAATAATTAAAAGGTTTGGGTTAGCATGGGGTGATGCTTTGCTAACTAACACTATTTAAAAATTTTAGAATAATAAAAAACAAAAAAAGAGAGAGAGAGTTGTTGTTGTTATTTAGTGCCATTGAGTCAGTTCCAACTCATGACAATCCTGTTTAGGGTTTCTGAGGAGCAGCTGGTGAATTTGAACCACCGACCTTGTAGTTCAAACCAACCTTGCAGTCTAGTGCTTATCCTCCAGCATGACACCCTAAAATATCTCAGGGACTGCTGACTCTCCTTGTAAACAGCTTGTGGTTAAGTGATATATCCAGTAACACATCATACTTGGAATAGCTCCTTGATGCTTTCAAAATAATATTAAAGCACAGTCCCAGTGATACACATATGTGTACAACCTAACTCCTGGGTTTTAATATGACATCCATTTAATTGTAGCCAACCAACTTGGGTATGCCATTGTATTGGTAGCTTTAGAGGGCATAGGAAAAGAAACCTAATCAATTGTTCACAAATTAGTCATGTGACCAGTTACAGTAAGCTAAATATTGGTGGTGGTATATATGTGCGTGGAGTTAGTTCCGACTCACAGCGACCCTGCATATGGTTTCCGAGGCTTTAAATCTTTACGGGAGCAGAAAGCCTCATCTTTCTCCTGTGGAACACCTGGTAGTTTTGAACTGCTGACCTTGCGGTTTGCAGCCCGATTCATAACTACTACGCTACCAGAGCTCCTTAGTACATGTTTTTTTGCTTAAACAAATCTTTTCATGATTCTGAAGCATGTGAGTGGCAAATAACATGAGCATGGCTTTGATACCCGTGATCTTGAATATAGCTGTTATTGTTGTTGTTAAGTGCTGTTGAGTCGACTCCAACTCATAGCACCATTGTACAGCGTTTCTGAGGAGCAGCTGGTAGTTTTGAACCGCTGATCATATAGTCCACAGTCCAGTGCTTATCCTATAGCATCACATCAGGAGTCCTGAATGTAGGTGAAACCAAGGTCCTGACTATGTTAAGAAAGTTGTGTGAAAACAACAAACAACACAATTTAATACATACTGAAGGGAATTGGCTGAGAGGCTGTCTGGTCTACCCATGCCCCATCACTGATTTATTGTATAATTTGGCCTGCTCCTATTTCTTTTTGGTCCTTTAGCGGCCCTGAAAGTATAAAGATTAATAATGAAAAGGCACAATGAAAATCCAAGTTACTTTTGTGTTTTTCACTCCATTGAAAAGAAGAAAATGATGATCACTTACAGTATTCTACTATTCTATTTTAAACCTCTAGAACATAATTCTGTCCTGCATATTGATTCTAATTCCAGCAAAATTAAGGGTTCTGTAACAGTTGCAACCGCCAATCAAATGTGAAAACCCGCAGCAACTTGGAATTTAAAACAGTGTATTTGTTTTAACTTTAACAATGCTACCTGAATTAAGGCTAAAGTACTTTTTATACTCAGAGCTATTATATCTTATATCCAGTTATACACTGAAACCCAGATAAATCTTGCATGCCCTTGCATCACAGATCTTCACACTGTAATAGATTTATTGTTGTTGTTAAGTGTCGTCAAGTCAGTTCCGACCCCTAGTGACCCTGTATAGGGTTTCCAAGAAGTGGCTGGTGAGCTTGAACTGCCGACCTTGTGGTTCAAAATGACTTTGCGTCCCAGCACACTAACTTACAGCATCACGTTATTCTGAAGTTCTCATTTATAGCAGGGGAAATGGTAGCCAGGGATATAGACAGCTTGGTATAGTTGCCACAGCTAATTAGTAGTGGGACAGTTAGTAGTGGGACTTTATTTGTGGTGTAAGAGTACCATATACATTGTTAAAGACATTTTTTTCATACACACTGCTCCCCTGATAAGCAGGTAAGCAAAGTCATTCCTTTGCTTGAGTTTTATGAATGTACATATTCATAAACACACTCATGTGCCTATGCATGCACAAAATATCAGGAAATATCATTTGATAAAGCCTTAGCTTTGACACCAACCATATCATCTCTTCTGCTAGCTCTCAGAAAAATAGTTAGGTATATGTCTTTCAGGAAAAAAATAATAATAATATATGCTGAATGGTTACAAAGACATAATCTTATTTCTGACTTTGGAACCAAATTGGACCTTTATAGCAGGAGGAACAAATTTAAGTTTCCAGACAGAAAACAATTCATCCAGTATCAAAGGGAGGAAAGAGGAAGAGAGTACATAGAATAAGGAAAAAGAAAACAATATCCAAATGAAAGTTGAAAATATTTTGGTTCAAATAAGGCTTTATTTTTTCCTTTCAAATTAGGATGAATGAAATGCACTGGGATGTATTAGAAAATAGAATAATGACAGGGCAGTCCAAGGGCAGAAGTTCCAGCTTCTGGACACTTTGTTGTTATTGTCAAGTTGATTATGGTGACCCTACTCAGGTGTACAAGGACCTCTGGTAGTATAGTGGTTATGAGTCGGGCTATTAACCTCAATGTCAGCAGTTCGAAACTTCCAGCCGTTCCATATGAGAAAGATGAGGCTTTCTGCTCCCTAAAGATTTACAGCCCCAGAAACCCTATACAAGGTCATTATGAGTCAAAACCAACTCCACTGCACATAAACACCACCACCACCATTCATATGTACAGAGCAAAATTTCTCCATAGGGTTTTCAAGGCTGTGTGTGTCCTTTTTGAAGCAGATTACCAACCTCATCTTCCAAGGTGTCTCTGAGTTGGTTTGAGCTGCCAGCCCTCTGCTAGTAACAGAGTGCTTAACCATTTGCACCACCTCTAGACACTAAACTGACTGTCATCAAGTCGATTCCCACTCACAGCAACATAAGGTTTCCAAAGTGGCAAATCTTAATGGGAGCAGAAAGCCTCATCTTTCTCCTGTGGAATTTCCAACCTTGTGGTTAATTGTTGTCTTTAAGTGCCATTGAGTTGGTTCCAACTCATATGGGCCCTGTTTAGGGTTTCCAAGGAGCGGCTGGTGGGTTTGAGCCGTCGACCTTGTGATTAGCAATCCAGTGCTACTCCTACAGTGCCACCAAAGCTCCTTAGGAATCGCTAAAGAGAATTCTGGGAAAATTACAAAAACTGACCATTTCTAACCATGGTTATGAATGAAGATGCATGGCATAGTGGTTATGGATTCAGGCCCTGGAATCTTTGACTCTTGGTCCCACTGCATACGAGCTGTTATTTTTGACATGAGGCATTGCTTAAATTCTCTAAGCTTTAGTTTCCTTATTTGGGACCCGTTAATAGTCTCTTGCACAGTACTGTCTCATAAAGCGCATTCCCAAGAGGGAAGAAATGCCATTATACACATTTTCCAGCAGGTATACAGGAAAATAATGTTATGAATAATAGAAATATAATTGTGAGCATAGACCTCTTTTCTCAAGTAGCCATCAGTCTGATGAGGGAACCAAGTAAGCAACCTATTAAAGGACACATGATTCATTAGCGGGGCCCTGGTAGTAAGTGAAAATATTTGTCTCTCAGTTGTATTTTCCTCTCCCCACCCCTCCCGACCACCACTAAATGAAACCTCAGTGGTTCTGACAACCTTCATCTTTCTTTGAAGTCCCCTTCCTGAATGTTGATAAGATAATATTCCAATTTCTACAGAGATATGATCCATGAAAAAGTTCTTTGAATATAATGTTTTAGAATCAGATCAAGCTGCTTGCTACTCTAAGGGTCAAGCTGGCAGCTAAGGTGTCTTAAGTAAATTAGGTTAAAAACAAATTTTCTTTGCCTGAAAAACAGTTTTTATAGAATCACTATTGCAGGATGAACCCAAGCATTTTGAAATGAGTGCAATTTAATAGAACCATGAATCATTGCAAGGTTACTTTTGAAGATAACTGTATTACGTCGTGGTTTTTATTTATTTGAAATATTAAACATATTTTAAAAAATGCCTCTTGCTTCCAAACAAACTTTTAAAAATTTTCATGAATGATTTCAGATAGGGGAACCATGTTTAAAAAACAAAAAAATCATGAAAAGATGGCTCTATTTGCTATATTAATGGATTAGTGGAGAAATATCAAGAAGCTGGGCAGTAAATACCTTTCACAGGCTGAGCAGTACTTTAATATGTGGTTACCCCAATACCTGTTGTCATTCTTCTAGGTTCTAACTCATAATGACCCCCTGTGACAGACTAGAGCCACCGCATACAGAGTTTTAGGCTGTAGTTGTTATAAGATTAGATAGCCAGGTCTTTCTCATGCTGAGTTGCCGCATGAGTTCAAACCACCAACGTGTTTGGTTAGTAGCCTCGCTCTTAACCTTTACTACACCAGGACTCCTTTTACCCCCACACTTAACAGCTGCCTTTTAGTAGTGGAGAAAGATGATAATTATCTCTTGTCTACTTTCCCCCAGGACAACGTTGAGTAAAGCCAGTACCCAGAAGAGGGCTGTAGTGAAGGACCAGCATGGGAAACACATTCACTTGGAGCACCTGGAGGATGTACCAGAAGCACTAGACCAGGATGACCTCCAGCACGACCTCCAGCAACTCCTTCGGCATTTCTGCAAGGAGGACTCAAAGCAAGAGGCCAAATAAGGGGTTGCCCAATCCTCACACCAGAAACCACACACTCACTCAATATGCAACTTCCTGTTTCGATTTCAGCAGAGTGACCATAACTGATTTCATTAATGGACACCCTGACATTTCCACATTTAGCAAATACACTGCATTTTCCTTTAGTTTGCCCCATCCTTTTTACCTGTCCGCTAAGTTGTGACCAAAGATAGCATCCTTTCTTCTGGATGTTGTATCCACTGATTTGTTGTGTTTGTGCTAACCTGGGAACTGGCCACCTCCATTGTTCTTTGCTTCTGCACAAGCTCCATGAAAATCCACTGATCAGAAGAACTTGACTTGCAGACCTCTTCAAATGATGGCATGTAGGAATCCCTCGGAGGGATATCCGTATATAATGTATATAGTTGAAATGTTCAGATGAACAACATATTAAAATTAAAACCACTGCCTATCATAACTATACTGGGCATCATGAAATAAAAGGCCTCTAGAAATTGCTGAACAATGGTTAATTAAGATATTGCTAACACAATCGAAAGCTAATTCAGTTCTACTGCAAAAGATGCACTTCAGACCTAGCAAGTCCTTAGAATGTCCAAAGTAGCCACTGCTCCTAGTTAAAGATGGGTTAATAACCTTGAAGTACTGTCCTTACAAAGAAGTCATTGCTGGTGCTAGCCAGACAGGATTTATGACTCTCCAACAGCCACTCGGAGGAAAGGTGGGGAAGGGAGAGGGCAGAAGGCAAATGGAATGAAACAATGAGGTATTCAGTTGCTAGCAGCTACATCTTGTGGCACTCTAGCATCTTCAGGTCTTTGAGATTTGAACAAGTTGGCAGGGTATTTTAAAAAACTATAACTACTGTAGTTTTCCAATTTTCATTGCTGCTTTAGCAAACCACGCTGTCTTACTGATGGTACTTTCTTCTGTCCACTGCACTGTAGATAATTCATTGGAAACAAGATTTACCTACTACACAAAAGCTTAAAATCCTTCACCATGTTTGAGTGGTTTCTTCTTCTTCTTTTCCCCTTTTCTTTCCAGGTTTATATCTTCTCTGATACCTGCATGTGGCATTTAAAAATCAAAACCACAATCAAAATCCTTCTTCTAATCGCATTAATGAGTTACATTCTTTCTGCACAAATCAGGCTGTTTTGACTTTTCAGCTCAGCCTGTTTTTCAGCTTGCAGACAAGATTGAGAAATCTTTAAAAAAAAAATTGATTTTGATTAAAAATGTTGGTTTATTTATTTGAAATCCAAACTCCTTTGGGAACACTTAAGTGCATTTGTGCACTTTTTTGCTTGCTTGTTTCAAAGAAAGGAATAGAACAATCTGAGTGATTCCCATGTCCCATCCTTGATTCCTCTAGTGGTTGAAGCTGTGTAGCATTTTAACATATATATATATTTACAAATATATTCATATAAACAGTATACATTTTGAATCAGTTATTTGTTAAAGAAAAGTATATTCAATGAAGATGACATTAAAAAAAAAAAAAATTCTATCCTCCAGGGATTGAAAATTTTCCAATTCTATCTGGTCCTTTCCTGTTGTGCAAAAATGACTCAGTGCTCCAAATGTCAAAACCAAATGTGACAAACAATGGCGCTTCATCATTTAAAATAACATTGCCAAGAAAGAAATTTTTCTGGGAAGGAGGTTTCCCACAAGTCGAACTCCTAAGCCTCTAACGCTAGCTCTTTTTGGCAGTCAGATAGGAAAGAAAGCATTTGTTGGCAGCCAAAATGAGAGAGGCCCATGGTGAAACTTTTTGAGAAACACCATGGCCTTCTTGTTAAAACCTTCACTGGAGCTCAAGAAAAGCATTTCTGTTGTGTTATTTGCAGTGCAGATGATGTCTATGTAACAGCATAATGGTTATTCACCTTTTTTTTTTTTTTTGAAATTGATTTTTGCTGTGTTATCAGAAAACTTGAAAACTGTGAGAAGAAGTGAATTTTCAGTTGATGAATCAGCATCTTGTTCCCATGGTGATAACACTAATTGAATATATCTATGAGGGCATGTATTAGTTAATGGAAAAAAAATACAACACTAACAATACATAGCTGCAATGTGTACAATGGCTGATTTAATTAAATAAAATGTACAAGTGTTAACTGTGGCAACAGTGATTTGTTCTTTTTTATCACTGATCTGTGATTTCAAGAAAATTAGAGAAGAGTAAAGGGACCGCAAAGATTGAAAGCTAACAGGAAAACATAAATTGATTTATTTTATTTTATCTATTTTTTAGCTGTGTGAGCTCTGATAGCGTAGTGGTTACGAACCTTAAGTGCAAACCTTAAGGCCAGGAGTTCGAAACTACCAGCCACTCCGCCGGAGAAAGATGAGGTGTTCTGCTCCCAGTAAGATTTACAGCCTCGGAAAGCCTATACAGGGTCACTATGGGCCAGTAGCGACTCCACAGCACTTAACAACAATTAGAGGTTGTATGCTTGGCACTGAGATTGAACGACAAACTATCCTGCCCTCAAGAAATTTACATTGCTATTGTTATGTAAAAGCAGGAAACCAAACATTTGGCTTAAGTTTTGAAATCTTCTTAGCTGACTTGGAGTGTCATCTCCTACTTGTGGGACCCCCATGCATAGTGAAGCCAGTGCTGGCAGGTCTAATGATCATGTGGACCACTGTGATCCATGGGATTTTCATTGGTTGATTTCTCAGAAGCAAATCACCAGACCTTTCTCCCTAGTCTGTCTGAGTCAGGATACTCTGCTGAAACCTGTTCCACATTGTAGCCTTCATTGCTGTGAAGTACAGTGACTAGGAATTGAATCTGGACCTCTCACATGGGAAGTAAGAATTCTACCATTGAGTCACCAATAGGTGATGCCCATACAGGAGCCTGGGAATGCCCAGGGAGATAAGAAAGGGATAGCCAGGACTTGATAGCACAGGCAAGGCCTATGAGGCTGATCGATTTTAATTCTCTTTTCTTTAAAGAGAATGATTCTCAGGAAACAGGAAACACCTTTTGCCTTTGGGAACAATATATAGCTCAGGAGTTTCATTGATCTTTTCTGACCAGAGAATTGGAAATTAAATGGATATGTTAAAATAAATAATGGAAGGAAACTTGTTGTTCAGTGTTGTTCAGTTGGGTACAACTCATAGCCACAGGGTTTCTGAGGAATGGCTGGTAGGTTTGAACTGCCGACCTTAAGGTTCAAGCTGACCTTACAGTCCAGTGCTTTATCCTACAACACCACACCATTGTTATTGTTGATGGTAAGTGCTGTTGAGCCAGTTCCGACCCATAGTGACCCTGTATAGGGTTTCTGAGGAGCATCTGGTGAGCTTGAACCACCAACCTTGAGGTTCAAAGTGACTTTGCAGTCCAGCACATTAACCCACAGTGCCACACCAGCACTCCACACTAGGACTCTGCAAAACAAATCAGTAGTACATGAGAGTGTTTTTTTTTTGTTTGTTTGTTTTTGCTTTTTAATTTGTGCTGCTATAATATTTTTATGATTAAACAAAACTGTTTCAATATTAAGTAGATTTCATTGAAATCTTAAATCAGAATGACAGGATTTGGTTAATCTGACTGATTGATTTACCACATCTTCAGAAATTAAAATACCAATTATGCATGGAATTTTCAAAGGAAATAGAATCAAACTATGGGCCTCCTCTCATTTGGGTATGATTAATGGTATCACAGCATTAGAGAATATTCAATGTCTTCTCATGCTTAGTTATTTGGTGTACAAATGCCATTAAAAATTAATTTAGGTGACTAATATGCCCTTTTACTGCAAGATGTTTAAAATGGAGGAAAACCCTTCACACTGAGGGAGAACTATGTACATCTTATAGATTGTGTGTAGGCATAAAAGAAGTGCAAAGTGCATCTGAATACACTGAAGCTGACTGGAGCGAAATTTCACAGTGTGTGGCGTTATTAAATTTATATCAGTATGGAGGATTTCAGTGTGGGCAAGTAGACAAATACAAGAATAAAACAGATAAAAAGAAAGTAAACAAATACTCAGCAAGAGTCAAGCTTGCTAAAATAGTTTTTTGGTTTGTTTTTGTTTTTGAATAAAGGTATAGATAGTTTGCATGCTTTCATTGTGCCATAAGAAGAAGAAAGAAAGAAAGAAAGAAAAAAAAGCCTGAAAGTATTTTCTGCAGCTGCCACCCAAGGCTTAAAAACATCACCCTCCTCCTTCATTTAAGGTATGATTTCTGTTACCGATCTCTTTGAAGTTAAAGTCACAAATTTAGAATGAATCACACAAGTAAATATGTAATTCAACTTAATTCCACCATAACAATGAAATATTTTAAAGTAGCTTTTAAAAAAAAGAAACCTCCATTCTCAACTGATACACACAAATTAAGGTATCTCTGCTGTTCTCAAACTTCCTTGGAAAAATATTTCTTTCCTTGCTTTGAAGTAGCTCCATGATACAGAGTAGATTGTTGTTGTTGTTGTTGTTGTTGTTGTTGTTGTTGTTAAGTGCTGTTGAGTTGATTCTGATCCATAGCAACCTTGTATAGGGTTTCCAAGGAGTGACTGGTGAGCCACTGACCTTGTGGTTCAAACTGACTTTAGAGTCCAGCACATTAACCCAGCGCCACACCAGGACTCCATGGAGTGGGTAAGTACTCGTGGATATTCTTTGGGCAGAGCTGTTGTGTATGGTAGACAAGACAGTCAACAGTGGTATTAGTAAAAATTCAGTAGGTATCTTCAATCACTAGAATGTTCAATGAATATTTCCTTAAAATATTTCAGTGAGTCAATATGACAAAATAGTTAAATATGTGATCTTGGAGTAAAATCCTGGATGGGAATCAGTACATCTATATCAAACGTGTGATTTTGCAAATGTTTGCACCTCTGAAACACAATTTCCACATAAGTAAAATATTGTGAGATGCCATCAGAGTCAGTTCCTACTCGTATACAACAGAACAAAACACTGCACAGTTCTACGCTGTCCTTTTGATGGTTGTAGACTGAA